CGTTTCATTTTGAGATACATTTACCGTTTTGCAGCAGAGAATTCATTTGAGACTGTTCTCCTAGCCTTTGCTCTGGCTAACCAAACAAGCAGGTAAAACCCCCAAGAATAGCACTGTAGAGTATAGAGGGCATTTATTGCTATGCAGAGGGCAGGAAGATCGGTACTTTGGTTTCTAGACTTTCAATACTGTCTTTTTTCCTTTTTTCTCTTCAGCCAGTATGTACTGTATGTAGAATCTTAACAATTAAATATTCATTGCTGTTGTAGTCAGTGACCATGTGTTGACTCCCTTAAGATAGTCACTAATGCAATTTGATATCTCCTTTACCATCCACAGAAGCACAACATTTTAGACAAATCCACAGAAGTAGCACTTCATTACCATGTAAATGGGAATCTGGAATGTACTTTTAACCATTTTGTTTGCCACTATGCAAGACACTAGCTCTCTATGAAAGTTTTCCTACCTCACCTGTAGCCTTTTCTCTCCTTCCCATTACCCCCTCTGTTTACACTCTCACCTTCCCAGCGAGTGTCTCAGCCCATTATTTCCTTTGCAGGGTATTTCCAGGGTTAATGGCCCAGACTTCCAACTCCACCCTGCCTGTCATTAATCCAGAGGAAATACCCAGTGCTTAGAATAATTATTGCTTAAACACCAGCAAAATAGCTCGTCTATTTTGTAACAATCCCAGGCAGTTCAGGACCAAGAAATCCTGAAATAGTTGGGGTTTATCATCCTGCCGTGTATCAGTTTAAATTTGCAGCCTGTCACACCCCTGCAAGCCTTGTAAGTCTTTCTCCCTCTCTTTACAGGATGTATAAAGAATTTCCACCTACTGTGATTTTTTTCAGCTCCATAATGCCATAAGAACCCGTGTGGTAAAAGAACGTTTCAGTATTAATGTGAAATCCTATCACATGAAAATTTAATTTGGAAATTTATCATTTAAACTTTGAAAGGAATCCATTGAAAATTGTGAGTTATAGCCTATTTTTTCAACTCAGAACAGATAAAATCCCACATATAGTACACCAAGTCATGCATTATTACTTAGTTCAGGTTTGCAGGACCACTAAATCACTTACTGCTCTGTAACTATGCTAGAACAAAGCCAAGCAGATGATGTGTTACACTGAAATAAATCACATACAACTAAGTTTAAATATTTTACTGAACAGGGTCAAATTATATATAAATGATTTGGAGATTTGCAATGGCACGGGCTATTCAGTGCTGGAAACCAACACGCATCTTGAAATCACAGATTACTTCCCGTTTGCTAGTAATGTCAAACGTAGTCAGCAGCGGAATAGCAAGGGAGGAATGCAGAAAAAAAATTAGGTTTAAGTGAAAGGTGCAAATGAAAAGCCCTCAGTGACTTGTATATCCCAAAACCTCCTAGTGCGAAGAGCCACTTGTGTGTGATTTTGCACATTTGCATCTCTTAAACCACACCAAAATTAAACCTTTGCTCGCTGAAATGTGGCAATAGCAGTTTCCCCAAACCCTGACCAGGCTCTTTACCTGCTTTGTGTGCACTGGAGTGTGTGTGTGGTTGGGTGCGGATGTTTTGTATTCTTTTTGCAGCATAATGCCATTAGTAGTACAACAATAAATCACCTCTGGGAAAAGTCCAGCCAGGTATTATCAACAGGGCCTCACTGCGGATCCTCACCAGTGTCAATCACTCGTCCCACTCAAAGAAAAGCAATGCCAATGTAAAACTGGCACATGACCAGATTCAGTTGTCCCAACTCCAGCTGTTATTCCGCGTGTATTTAAAAAGTCTCCAAACATCTACAGGAGTGCAGGTGGTGGTTGTGTATTAATAAGATGACTGAGAAAGGATAGTTCTTAGTTACTGCTTTCATTTCAGAGGTTGTTTTATAGGAGAAAATAAGCAATAACCGTAGGAAAGAACTACAGTATATGTTGCCAGGCATTTAATGTGGCAACTTGTGCATGCTGAATAAAACATTTGAAGATATGCTTTAATTTCACCATGCAGGAAGAATTATCCGAGTTTTCTTAACCACTCATTATGTATTTTATGTAGGTTCGAGCTAGTGCGATTGCTCAGGATGCTGATCAGAACTACGACTATGCCAGTAACAGCGTGGTTCTTCATTTGGAGCCAGGAGATGAAGTTTACATTAAATTAGATGGAGGAAAAGCACATGGAGGAAACAACAACAAATACAGCACATTTTCTGGATTTATTATTTATGCTGACTGATAATGAGTAAAACAGACCCACCAAACCAGTCCAAAAATGAAGCTTGCTCTTCTAAGCAATGGATTTGCGTGGCAAAAGTCAATGAAACAAGCACCCCAGCAGAGAGAGACCATCGAGCACCTCACTAGCGGGGGGGGGGAAAGTCGAATGCTACCTGATTCACATCTGTACAACACAGAGAAACCTTATGTTAAAAAATTGCAAAACAAGTTAAACAGATGTGCGATCCAGTACCGCCAAAGCAAATACTTCCTCATTGTCAGTGTCCATGTGAATGAAGTCGTACATAGAGCAAATTTTTATAGAAAAATAAAACACCACCTAAGGACGCTGAGGTATTTTTTCAATGTATATGATACTTTGATGTGTTATGATCTTGCTGCTTTATCCATACTTCAGCTTTGGTTCTTGTGACTTACTTGCTAACAATGATGCTTGGAGTCCACTCGTAGTGTGATAAGGAATGATTTTCCAATAAAAGGAAGGGGTAATCAAAATACGCTTTCTCTCTCCAAAGGAATTGTTTCACTTGTACTTCTCTTATCCTTCTACATAAAACTAGAAATTAATCAGCTTCAAGCCTTAACTCGATGTTCCTGCTTTGTAGGTTTACATTAGACTTTTGACATCAAATCAACCCAGTGGAGTTGTTTAAATTTTGTTTTCCCCTTAACTGTGTTCTAAAAGAAAAGGGATAGAAGAAACCTTTCCTTTTTCTTACTTCCTGAAAAATACAGCTATATAAAATAGAATATGAACTATTCTATTGGACCAAATCCCTGATTCCACCAAAGCCAATGGCGAAACTCCCATTGATATTAGTGGAAAAAAAGATGATTTGGCCTTTAAATTGTAAACATGTAAATATATATATTTAGACAATTCTTACAGGCCCATTCCTGATGGTTAGTAGTGTAAATATTTAGCAAGGCTGGCATCCACATCCTCAGACTAAGGTAGAGTGTTTCCTTTGCAGCAATTAGTTGTCATTAGTCTTTTAGCGCTTAGTCTGTACTTGGGTACAATTTCTAATAAAATATTTATGACTTAACATACTGCAGACGTTCAACTAGAATTTCGCAGGAGTATAATGGGTCAAAACATTACTTGTCTTAGGTGTCTTGTCTCACTGATGTTAGTGGGCTTATTCCTACAAAGGAAGAATGGGAGATCTGACGTGTGAGAAAATGCTGTCACACAGACCTTTTCCATGGTAGCTAGTTACCGGTTTGTAGTAAGGTGTGCCTATGAAATGGACACAAATAAGCATATTACCAAAAATGATAACACATATGCAAAGAAAGAAGCAGATATTTACATGCAAAAAAAAAAAAAGTGTGTATTAAAACCTATTTTTCTCAGTCATATAAATATATATATAGATATATATAAAGTCTCAAAGTTTAATCCATAGAAAGGATTAATGGCTTGGAGAATTAAACTAAACACAGGCATTATGAGTTGCATAGTTATAAAAATGCTTTAAAATCAGTTAATACCAGTAATGTCCATAGAGTATTTTTATTCAGAAAACGGATTTATTATTTGGTTTGGTTTGGGGAGGGGAGGCAGTCTATTTCTCTCAGGTTAAAACTTGCAGATCTCATTCTAAACCGAAATTATTATAGCAGGATAATTAATAAGCTCCTTAGCACAGTTGGTTATGTTGCTTAACATTTTGGCAAAATGAAGGTAACATTTTCATAACTTCTTAAAGAGTAATAGAAGCTACCCCCAGCATTTCTGTTTCATGTACTTTGCCAAAAGCAACCCTGTCTAATATACTAAGGGTACAGACTCAGATTTATCTGTACTAAGATGCTGAATGTGTCTGCCACTGTGACAAAAAAGCTCTCTGATGCTGGCTGCTCAGTAAAAGGTTTTATGAATCTCTCAGAAAATCTCTTGTTTGAACGAGTTAAGCTTATTTTAAACAGAAAGTGTTACTCTTCCTGTTTTGACTTGTCCAATTCAAAACAAGTATTGAGTTAGTCTAGGCTGACAGATCCAGTCTAACTCAGCTAGGATTTATAAAGGGACATTGTGCTGCCAATTCCTTGTTTATTATCTCACCAGGCTGGTAACACTTTTACTTTATGACAAAGTGCCAACCTATACCCGTACATTGCAGTGATTGTTCCTGGGTTGTTTTTTTTCCTACAAGGTAATGTATTTTATTAACAGATGTGTAACAGACTTCAGGTCTGTTCGCTCCGTGGCTGCTTTCACTGGTTAGTACACTCACAACAGCAGTGTAGCTACAGATTCTTTACATAGTATTCAACAGTAGCGTAGCACGCTAGAGATCATTTACAGCTTGCAATGTGCATTTACTAAGGTATCTATTGGAAAAGTGTAATACTACCAGATGATATGGTCCAAGTTGAAGAAGTTTTTGAAATGAGGCTAACACTGCTACTGCATAAGACCATTTTTTGGATAAATCACCTGCCCTGGTTAAAGTTAGACAAGAGCAAAGAACACACTTTATGTGAAAAACACATAGAAGGCAAACATTTCTTCCTTTTTCATCATATCTTGATATACTGATTTGTAAAGACTTATATCACAACCTTTGTTATAACTATTACAACTCATTAAAACTGTATTATGTAATACATTTTGACTTTTGGTGTTGCCTCCTTACAAAAGAGAAGCTGGTCTGCGAGACGTTTCACATGATCGTTGTGAGATGCCAAAAGTTCAGGATAAAAAATTGGTTCAATTAAAAGAAGACATCCACAATAACACACATAGCTTAAGAAGTCATCAAATTGCTTTATTCAAAAATATATTTTCCACGTGATTTTTGCACTCTCAGTTAAAAATAAGTTGATAAACTAGAAAGAAACAATATCATTTTAGAATTACTTGAGATTCTTTTTGCCTTCTGTTGTCTGTGGAAGCTACACAGAAGTCACAGATCTTTTAGCAAGCATTATTTAAAGAATGTAAGGATAATTAGAACATTGTCAATATTACAAGGATTAAAATCGCCCCCCTGGAGAAGGAGAATTTAATTGAAAACTCTAATTTCCTTCAAAGTCCAGATGATGCATCTTCAATAATACTTTGGGTAACATTTAATAGTAGTATTAGATTACCCTGTAGAAACAATCATTTTAAAATTTCAGTAGAAAAGATTTTGCAGGTAGGCTCATATCCAGTAAATTATTCATGGACAGACTTCTAAGAAGGAGAAAATGCAGAGAGGATATATATTAGTTTTTCTCATTAAAGAGAAAAATCATAATCAGTTTGTTCACATCTAACTAGTAACTTCCAGCTTCTCTGAAAAGAACCATGTTTTAAAATGACTGCTCTCCTGAAACAAACGTGAATTTTATCAAGGTTCCTTATAAAATAGGAATGTTTATTCATTATTCTTACTTAAAAGTCAGCCACCGCTTTGGATTTGCTAGGAGTATTTTATCAATTTTGTCTTGGGATATGCCTCTAATTAGCATTTTAGGAATTATATTTTTAAGGATATGTGAATATCCATGGCCTCCATATTTCATCAACCTATTCTTAGTATGCACATCATGAGCAATCAGAATTCTGTCTTCATAGCCTTCATCGACCAGCATACGAATCCTGCAAAAGTAAAAAGCATACCTGTCAGTGAAAGGCTCCCACTGCAACAGCATAGAACTGAGCAGGATTTACTCTTTTTCCTCATTGCTGGACTGTATAATAATGGAAATACTTATTTTCAGCTACTCAGAAGACATATTCCTTATATGCAATTGAAAATAAAACACGTAATTTATTGACTGAAAAAACCCCAAACACCTCTGGAAACATACCACCACATCTCAAAATGGAGAAAGGAAACACTTTGCAGTTGGTACATGACTTTGCATTCCCAGCCCCATTAAGTCCGTGGAGGAATTCAAGAGCTTCAGCATCACGAAGCACGAGACATGGGTTTTACATACACAAGTAAGTAGTAACTTGCTACATAAACTTCTCAGCAGGTTAATTCTTGCTGCTCTCACAGCGCTAGTCCCATTACATTTGTTAATGACCAGACTCTGTGTGTGACAGGTCCTTTGAGAAGCCCAGCTCAATCACACAAATACTTCCATATCTTTAGTTAATTCCCATTTAGCAAACATTCCATATAGACAGTTATCATACAAACATGTTTCAAAGATGTTTGTTAAAGAAGATAAGACAGGTGTTGCACAGTGCATCTGTCAGGAAATGAGAGGAGTTAGTACAACAGCCCAGCCAAAAAGGACTTGGCAAAATGACAAGTCAGCTTGGAAAAAGAAGTAATCCGTCTGGTCACTGCCTTGTAGCAAGCCCGCCACAAGCCCTTCTGTTCCACTTTTCACCCTGGTAAACTTAATCCTTTGCTCTGCTCACTCTTTAAAATTTATTCAGTGGGTGTCTAAACTCCTGTTCTGCATGACTGTTATGTTTCCCACTAGGCTTCAGTTTAGTTCGGCAGTAGGTTGCAGCATTTAATGCAGAGATGGACAGACCGGACCTAGGAAGTGCTTGCTCCTCATGAAGGCACCCAACTCTATTATTTGCCAGCACTGTGAAATTCTAATTCTTAACTTCCTGACTGTGCTTTGAACAGCAAGAAAGCAAATACCAGTTTTATAAGGAACTACACCGTATCTGAAAGCCCTTACTGTCAGGTTTTATTACAATTAGTTATGAGGAGATACATGCAGCAGGATCAAATCAATATGGGCAGCAGGAAAAAGGCAAGTAAGATAGAACTTGGTAAAATATGAGCATCTTCCAAAAACCTACCATAAGCTGTGCTTTTTAGTGCACAGCACTATGTATACTGTTGTATTACAACATCACAAGTATCTTTTCCAGCCTAAAATTCAGACAGACCACAAGCCAACCAGAGAGTAAGAACAATGACACTGGAGTGACTAAGTTTTTTGCAGACCAAACATCTTAGAATCATCTCCCTTCATGTCTGGATGAATTTCAGGGGCTGGGAAGCATATGGTCCTTTATATCCCGTACTCATTCTTGCTTTTTGCTCATTATTGTAAGTTTTGTTAGTACTTGCTTCTGACTCAAGGAAAAACTGCCCCTGAAAAAAATCAGTTCTTTTACTTGCATTGACAGTAGGCTGCAGCAAAAATATGGAAGTACACACATGGCTAAACTGTGTTTGAGTACGTATGGCACGACTACAGGAGTTTACGTTTTGAATAGACAAGACCCAAATATATATTTTCTCTTCAGTATTTTCATCAACATATTTAATGTCTATTTGACTTCCACTTCTCTGGTGCAGTTTTGACAAAAACCAAACCCTAAGGAGATGATTGCCACTGTCATCCTATATCCAGTGTGGATACATCAAAAGCCCAGCAAAACCCATTTAATGGCACATCTAACTCAAATGCGCATACTCACACCATACAATCAGAACACTTTTTCTGTTTTCTTCCTATCAACAGCCTGCTGCAACAGATACTCAAATGCCAGAAAGCTGAAGGAGAGACATCAATGGCTGAACAAGTATCATGGATGGAATGAAAACTTTGCCATGGTTGAACAAACACTTGCTAACCACGGCATACCCCATTCTTCTACACACACTCCTCACAGCCCTGTGCACACGCTGACCTCCCATGGCACAGGAAAGGGGGGGAGGCACAGGGGAGAGGAGCAGCTTTACCCATTCTAAATGTGAAAATGGTGTATTTGGTGCAACAGTTTAAAATACCAAGTGCAAGACTCAGAGCCCTGTTAAGACAGAGATAGGATTTCTCCTGTGAAAAGCAGCAGCAAACACTTGGCAGTAAGTGGAATAGTAACCATGACACCTTCTTAAGAAGAGAACAGTCTGAAAACAGAGAAGATTAGTTTTGAGGTTAATATGACAATGAGGGGGAGGGAAGCTGTGTCTGAAATGTAAGTGAAAGCTGAAAAGTTACTTAATTAGTGATCAAGGATCACCAAATGTTTCCAATCAAGGAATTCTGAAAGGAAAAAAAAGACACAGGCAGGATGGCAGCCCACCCTCAGAAACCTGCCACTTCACTGCACACGAACATTGTGGACAAACAGCAGAGGAGGCTCCCACCTCCAGCGTGGAAGGAGTGAGATGCCCATTCCCAGCTGATCCTACCTTCTCTCTTACAGTTTCTGCAAGGAGTGCATCTCCTTGGCAATACCTTGTGTTAGCACAGCACAACAGATTTGCTGTGCAGCTGAGCTGAGACTGCATGGGCTGACAAGCAGCAGGGAAGAGGTATCCTGCCAGTGGGGCCAATATTTTCACATTGTGAGTGTGAGGAGCATAGGAGTGCTGAGGAGATGGGAATTACACCTTTTGAAAGAGAGAAAGGGCAAAAGGAGAGGGGAAGGAGAGATGGTAAAGTGCCTGGAAGAAAAACAGTGTGGTTTTCAGGATGGAAGCACAAATCTACCTAGGACAACCAATGTGCTCTGCTGGTTTACTGCATTTGTGAGGAGATGTAACAGGCTCAGATGATGCTTGGCAGCAGGACTAGCTTTCCAATACTGTGTTTCAAATAAAAGCCAAACCTTAACACGAATCCAGTATCTCCAACCTTTTTTACCGACTATATAAATGCAGTAAATGATAAAATTCAACCAGATCAGCACAGAATTAGGACAGAGAATGAAGTGAAAAAAGCTCTTGATCTTCTCAAGTAACTTTCCACAACACTATGATTCTACATCTTCCTTTGCAGACAGAAGAAATTATACATGCTGCTCTAATGATGTGCCAGCAGCAGGGGAAAACTGTCATTATTTTAATATGAAGAAAGGTAATTTTGAACAGCAAGCAGAATCACTGTGACAGCCTTAAAACAAGTGCCAATAATATTCATTTGTCAATGGCAATGCTATAGCTTAAACTGCATGGAAGCAGATACCTTGTAATTCTGTCATTGTCGCTCGGCATGTCAATCTCAGGGTGGAAGTGGTAATGAAGAAATTCTGTACCAAATAGGTCATACTCTAAATAGCACCCAAGGTCAGCAAATTCCAGAAGTTTCTTTTTATCAAATATGGTCCTGAGGAACATATAAAACAAAGTCAGCATTGTAAAGGGAAGAAAAAATCATTATAACAGGAAGAAAAAAGAGGATAGGTATTTTGTGGCTTCCTACTTCAAGAAACAAAACCAATAATCTAAGATGTAGTTCACCTTTTTGGAAAACAGGACTCCTGTTTGACACATGCAACTTAAGCTCATACACCTTTCACCTCCATCTGGGACTTCATGCATTAAAACAAAATAAACCAAAACAAACCCAATTCTTCCCCCATGAAATAATGAAAACATTTATGATAATCTTTAAATGGAAACAGGAAAGTTACTTACTTTTGATATCACTAACCCTCTCAATAGACAACCTAGCAAGGAAGGACATTTAAGGAGGAGGTTAATTCATAGAGACATTTAAGAAAGACAATGGATTAGTTACAGAAGACAGATTTACTTTCTCAAAAAAGTTACAGGAGACAGCTATATCCAGGGCTCATTTCATCTATCACACACCAGTAATACACAACTTTGTCTTTAGTTTCTATTCTGTACACTGACGTTTCTAGATTGTCATTAAAACAGCAATATATCATTGTCTGCAAGGGGATCTGGCCAGAATGCTTTAAGGAAATGTTCTCACCAAAATACATAATGGCACTGTGAGTACCTGGAACTTGGGCTTTGCAGCAGATCTGAAAAGTGAAGGAACAAAGAGAAACAAAGCTACTAAAACCTGTCACTCACATGGGAAAGAATGGCAACTGAAGTAAGAGCTCTCTGGAATATATCTTTTTTCCTTGGAAACATTTTTGCCAAGAGTATAAGCTATCCAAAAAAAAAAAAAACAACCAAAAAAATCCCAGAACAAAACCCCTCAAATGATACATTATAATTTTATCTTTATAACCAAAGTACAATTTTTTTCATCTAGGGAATAAACACATGTCCACAAGAATAGCACAGTTAACCAAAAGGGCAGTTGTTAGGTTTATTACTGCAGATATTGATGACACAAAGTAATTCTACCCTCTACAATGACATCACAGTCTGTTGCCATGGAAATGGCTGATGTCACAATCTCAATATTATGACTTTACAACAGGGCCAAGTAGGAGGAACAGATGGGCTGAGAGAGAAACTCTTGTTGAAACAAACCTGCCATCAGCGGGAGTCTAAAATTTGCCAACTGTAATTAATAAAAAAGCATTATTTTAAAATAAATGTCACAGTTTACAGAGATTGAACATTTATCACCAAATGAGTTCTCAAAGTGCAGAGCAAAAGAATGAGTTATTTTAGATCCAGCCCTGCTCAGTTCACATGAAGATGGTAGCCAAGAGTATTCAATCCTGTGCAGGTGTCAAAACCCTCACAATGATGCATCTCAGAATCAGAGCCAGAAAAGCGTCTTTTTAAAACTATTGCTGGTGTTGTGCTTTTGGGTGCTCTGACCCAACAAAGAGCAGGAGAGAGTAATTTCATCATCCATTGGATCCCCTTGTAAACCACATGGATGTAGCAGCAGCAACAGTTACCAGCTGGAACTCCTAAATATCTGTGCTAGAATTAGGTGTTTGGGCAGCAACGTTCCTGAGCAGCCCTGAATGCATGGGAAAGGAGATGGCACACAGGGAAACATCCTGTACTTTGGACCTCATCCACACAACACCAGAGGGACACCCATCAAACCATTACTAAGCATTCGTAACAGTTGCTGTGAGTCTTCTAACAAAAGTTGCTCAAGTGAATGTATGTTGATATCTACCAAGATACCTTTATAACCTTGGCCCCTAAGAAATGGGCAAAGCCAAGACCAAGTAGCTTCTGCTTCCCAGCCTTTATCTACACTACAGTTTCACTAAGGACGCTTGCTACTTTTTGTTCCAAGATGCTAAACTGAAAAACAGTCTTATCATTTGATTGTAAATCCACCTGAAAACTACCATTCTGTCTGTGTCAAAGCAGACATGAAATATGGAGCTATGTACAAATTTATCTCACATTTAAGGGACTGGGATGCTCCCATGTGGATTCTTCTCACTGGAGGAGACTTAAAATGTTAAGTGCACATTGCACAGCCAAACTTCACAGTAGTTTAGAGACTATGCTACAGCAAATGCCAACCCAAATGTGTGAAAGTAATGATAGAAGGAGTGTAAGAAAATGTCATATTGTGTACCAATGGCTGTTAGTGAAATTGCACCTCTGTTTTGCCTGTTTCCCTACTTACATTGCCTATTTTCCACCAATAAATCACTGAATTCAATGATTTACAACAGCATACAAAGGCAAAACCCCATACCTGTGTGTTTATGTTGTATCAAAATGCCTGCACAATTACCGACACAGGCAGCTTGCTCAGTCCTCTATTGTAAAAAGATTTATGTAATCATTTTTTCTTTAAAAAGGAGAGAAAAATATAGCTACAGATACAATGAAATGCAGGTAAATATATAAAGTAAGCTCATATATGATCAAATAAAAATAAAATTTCATCATACTGAATTTTATGCTCCAAAAATTCCCATGTAAAACATTGATCTCTGTGTGAATACAAAACACCTGTAGCTTTATTTGCAAGCTGTTAGAGCCTGTATCTGTTAGGAATTTGGTGCACAGTTCTCTTGCCTGTATTACACTCACACAGAGGGCAAACAATCCAATTGCTGAGAGTCATATGACCACAAACAGTCTCCATTATTCAGCAACTGTCCAAACTGATCAATGCTTGGATATTTTCCAGCTCACCATGAGCAACACAAGGTCACACAAAACAGATTTGGTAATAGAGGCTGTGTTTCTAAACTGAAGAGAGAAAAGCGCCCTAATTCTTCTCCATGTCTAATGTGAGGCTCCTGGTTTTTGTTCTCAATGAAACTAAAAGTTAGCTCTCTGGGCAATGCTAAGAACTATCTAAACCCCAACTATTTTCTTTTTAAGCAATATTTCTTCTGGCTGGTAGAAGAACGTTAAAGATCTGCCTTCTGCTTTGATACAGAATCCAGCCAAATCAGGGAGTTCTCCATTAGCTTTTGTGAGATTTCGGTAGGCCCTTAAGAGTGCTCCAGTTTTACAAAAATGCCAGAAGCCCAGAGCTTCCCACCCAATTTGGTGAAAGGGGATCAATTTCTAATGCTTTTGTGCACGGACATGAAATAATGGAATTCCATTTTTTTTTTTAATGCGGCTACAGTTAGTCCTAATCTTGCTCCAGGCCTTCAAAGAGAGCATTAAAACCACCAAAATCTCTGTATCAATGTGAATCTCACAGATGATCCTGACTGAAGAGCTGGAAGCTGATGAAGCTCTATATAAGCAGTTATTTTTAAGTCAGTAAACTTGAAGATAATTCTTCATGCCATGATCCCAGTGCACAACAGAAACCTAGCTATTTGCAGCTGCTATGGGTTGCAGCAACACTGCCAGGACAGTAGAACAGTCTGCTTACCTGTCGAGGTGAGACATGACTGTCTTTGAAGCATCAGCCCCAGCTTCCTGCAGAATGCGGATAAGCTGGAAAGGTGAATTGCTGTGCCTGCCAGGATGGATGATAATGGGGCACCCAAGCTGTGACTGAGCCTGCGCTGTTGCCTGAAGCACTCTGTGTTCACTCTGAGTCAAAGGCCAGGAGCAACCTATTTCTCCCACTACACCACACTTGATGTCAGTCCCATCCGCTCCATTGAGTATCTCATCAACAATAATGCCTGTAAGCTAGAGAAAAGGAAAATGACATTTTTTGTTATTAATACTATTTGTGTTAAATAGCATCAAGTTTGGGCTATGAACACTCTCCTAGTTATACTCCCAAGGTCTTTCTGAACTTACTTAACAGTTGGGTGTGTGAAAACACGGTGGTTAAAATCTGATTTCTGTCAATTAATGTTACGCTAGCCATTCACTAAGACCAAAATAAACACAGAAGCATATCGATTTAACAGTATCCACTCACACAGTTGTCCAGGTTTGAAAGGAAAAGAAAGCTGGTCTACATGTAATTTGAATACTGATTTAGGCTGAGACTAATTTTTCTTAAATCTGTGCCTCACAGTCCTGAAGCAGATTCAGAAACAATTCAATGCAATTTTTTGTGAATAAGGCAACCTTGTCATTCAGATGGAGAAGGGAAATCTCTGCCAGATGCTGAAGAGACAAGTTTCAGGCAAATCTTGCTTGTGTGAATGCCAATGTAAACCTCAAGAGCTCCCCTGACTTACCAGAACTACACGAACAAAACTCAGCTGACAAATTTACAGGGTCAAAATCAGCCTGTTTTTAAATATCAACAGGCAAACAGGACATCAGAATCTCCTAATAAAAGCAATTTGCTATAAAAACTATAGCTTTTCTTTTCCAGAATAGGCCATGTATCTTAAATCATACATTCAGAACCAAGAGCACAAAATGGCACTAATGATCACCTAACTCTTTGGCCTTGAATCTTAAAGAAATCATGATTTCAAGGAAGAATAAAGTGAGCAAAGGAAGAAGGAAGGTTTGCAAGCAAATCCAGAAAACTAAATTAATCTGTAACTTATCTCTACTCCACAACTTATCTCCTCAACAGCCTCATACGACATATTAGTAAATACTTAATCTATATAAAAAAGTCAGCCCAAGGTATTACAGTTTACAGCAGGCTTCTGCCCAATAATTTATCCTATAATTACGCATCTTCTGCTTCACGTCTAACCAGTCTGCCAACCATTTCTGTAGACAGATACAGAATTCACTTCTCTCCTGAAGAGCATCTCTCAAAATACTCAAATTGTCTTTGTCTAATCATAAAACATATCATCATGTCAAATTCACTGGCAAATAAGGAACCACCAGTTATCGAGGATCAGTCATTGCACAACCCTTTCTAACTAACTGTCTTCTGGACTAGATTAAATATTGATGACCTGCTGTATACAGGACATCTCTGGGTCTCCAGCAGTCCATATACAAAAGGGAAACCTTTGCCCCAAGAAATCTATTTGTTATCAAATTTCAAACAATGGAAGAATATTAAGGAAAAGTAGTTCTGTTCCACACAGCCTGGGCCACTGTGGCTGGCAGACCTGCTCAAGTTACGCCCATTGATTTCTAAAATTAATTTGGCTCATTTGTAAACTGTGACAGATTTTAAAAACCTTTTCCCAGCTCTGTTCATCTCATTCACAGCCTCCTGCCCTGGAGAGTTCCCTTCCCTCTTCTCGCTATCATCACATTTTCTTAATAAAAGCTGAATGAATATTTATAACTATAGGAATATCTGGGGACCTCAGTCATTATTAACACATTGTCTTAGGCACCACACAAACAATCTGATGTAGACTTTGCCCTGAAAAGTCTGGACAAATGGTAGAGAACAGAGATGTAACACACAGCCTGAGCAGAACAACGATTTGCAACTGTCCTGTAAATACTACAATTATTTACGCTTTTTATAAAAATCCTGGGTGGTCTCATTGGGAAGCAAAGAAACAGAAAAAGACAGAAGCAGCAGAAAGGATATACTCCTTCCTTAAAAAATGTAAAAATAATAGGATAATTGGTGCTGTATCAGATACCCACAGACGAAGTACTTTATTTCCGCTTTACTGTTGCATTATAACAAATTTCATCAAACAGAGCTTAAGAATTGGAAATGCTGACAAATGATCCCAGGACACACAAATAGTGCTGTTCCAGGTATAACACACAAGCAGTAATGCTGTTCCCAAGGTTTTCATGTTGAGAACTTCTAGATTTCATCCATTTTGCTGGAATTCCTCTCCAACTTTGACTTACCCAGGGATAATTCATAAGAGAGAGACTCTGAAGCAATGGTTAAGACTTACCTGCTCCACTGTCATGGCCTGTGTTTGAGAAGAATGAGTAAAACCCACATAAAACCCAGCACCAGCAATAATATGGACTCCAGTTTCTTCAGCAAGTTTCTTCAAAGTATTCATATCTCGACCAATTCCTGTAGTCGTGTTTTCCACAATCGTCCCACCACCTGCTGCTTTAAAATGCAACAGCTCCTCCTTCACAGCATCTGTTTCCTGATACAGAAGAAGGTTTTCCTTATGGCTGTAGGGATTTTGCTTAATCCAAAACAAGTTCTTCATCTCAATGGGCCCATCAGACAGAGGCTCTTGGCCTGGAGAAGGTGGCAAAAAACTGCTGCTGTAGTTCATGGCCAAGTGTTCATGAGTCAATGTATAGCCAAGGTGGTCTGGCTCCACAGGGCCCAAGACAGTCTGTACTTTCCCGCTCAAGGAAGGCATTTTTCTTCAACAAAAAGGGAAAAAAAAAATCAGCTTCTAAAAGAGTCTGGGAAAGAAGAAGAAAGGAAAGAACATTTCAGAAAGAGCAAACCTTTCTTACACAATTTCTGAATTCCCTCCTCTCTCACACACATGTACCTACAAGCTCTGTGTGTTTGCTGAATGAAATGTTTTGAAACGTTTTCAAATGCTACTTCCAGTAGAGTGCTCAACGTGAAAAACATTTATTTTACCTAACTATGCTTGTATCAGTACTCTAGCAATGTAAACATATCACACTCATCATCAAAGGAAATCGTCATCACTTATTGCGCTATAGTCAGTATCACGATTAGAGAAATGTTTCCTATTTAATTAACAACCACTGTATGCTCATTTAGGATTCTCTGCTTGACATCAGCTGTCAGATTTTGCCAGCTTGAGCCACCATGAACATACTCAGCACCAAGGCTGAGTATTCCTGGTACATTCAGTTTATTCATCTGTGTCGTCCAAGACACACTGTAGCCCGCGCATGCCGAGGAAGCTGTCTGTGTTTGGACACCTCATCTGTCCGTCTGTATGAGGAATGCAGTGATGGGGACAATCTTCTGTTCCTTCAGCTTCAATGGATCTCAGGTTGTTTTGCCAGCTGTACTGTAGAGGTCTGGAACAGCCCAGGACAACTCTCCCAAGGCTAACAACAGCTGCTGAAGATACAGGGTGGCCCTCAACCAGCAGCGAGAAGCCAAAGAGATTTTCCCATCAGCTTCATTGGCCAAATATTTCATCAGTTAAGAACAGACCTTAATCTAACAATTTACATGGCTCAGCCTTTAAGATACATTCATCTTTAACATGAACAGAACAATGCTCTTCCTCAGAATCTGAAATGAGTTATGACAGACACACATTGACTCTGCTGTCTGCAGTTGCTTCATGTCAAACGCATCTGCCCTGTGCCAGCTTGGCCTGACTCACTGAAGGTTAGAATTAGCTGCAGCTCTCACCATTGGGATTTGGGGGGAGGTTTCTCACTGGGGAGTGGGGGCACTCCTGACTACCCAGTTCTTGTTAGATCTTCATGACGCTAGTTGCAAAGGCTTGAGGATATATAGTTATAATCCCTAGTCAACCAAAATCATCAGTTATGAAACAAAATACATGTTTAATCATGTCCAGAGGACAGGACTAACTAGAGCATGCATTATTGATTAAAGAGAGAGGTCTTTCCCATTTCTGTCTCCCTTTTAGTGAATAATGTCATAAATATGGTTTTGTTACTGGTGATGCCCTCAGAGGACATTTTCCTTTTAACTGCTAAAGTTAATCTACCAGGATGCCAGAAAAACTGAAATCTGAAGGGCACTGAACTCTACATATCAAAGGGCACAAGAACATCGAGGTCTCTCTGGGGATACTTTGATCTCACAAGCAGCAGTCATTCTCAAGAGTACCAATGTACAAGTGACTCAGCCCCTGGAAAAGGCAGTTATCACCTGCCTAGTGATGTCTGGAGTGCTGGCAGTTATTTTAATACGGAAACTTGGCCATCCATAAGAAAGAGAAAGGACTGACTGTCTTGTGTAAAAGCACATTTAGGAAGAACTGTTCTTTTATGAATTTCCTATCTAGACTAGTGTGTTGACTTGTTTGAGAAGGCAGAAGAATAATTACTCTCAGAACAGACTGCTGGCTGATTAATATAATGATTTATTTTTTGCCAAATAAATTAAGTGCATGATTTCAGAAAATATTATTCTTGAGCAAATAATCAAAAGCAAAATACCTGTCTTAGTCAGAATCTGCTGCTAGCTGCAATTCAATTAAGTTGTCCAACCCAGTCATTAATTCCATCCTTGAACAAAGCTGGCGCTCTATAGAGCAACCCACTATTCTGGAGAAAGTTCAATGATCTGAGTCATTCCTAGATGCACAGCAAGGAGCCTAACATAAGTCTATGATAACTGCATTACATTTGCTTCACCCCATCCCTTTTTTCTTAAAACGTTAAATATCTACATGCTGGTATTCAGTAAAACCCTGACAGCATAAAGAGTGATAACTACTGTCTGCATTGCAGACATGCTTTTCTTTCCCCATGTTCATTGGCAATTTTCAAATCCATTCAGGAATTTCAAACACATTTCAAATTCAAGTTAGGAAAACAAACCTATATAAATATTTTGTTATATAATCAAATACGTAAGTACTGAAGTTCTGTTACTAAAACTTCACACAAATTTATTGCAGTTTGTTTCCTTAAAAAATTTCCACTTCAGTTTTTTAGTTATTTAATAGTGCAGTTACTAAAAAAATAGAATGTGAATTTTTGCCCACTTTTAGATTACTACTTTAATGAAAAGTTGACTTTCAACGTTTGCTCCCACTCATTCTTTTCCAACACAGCTAATTTAGATTACCCTCAATTAGTCTGGCCTGCCCACTCAAAAGACCTACCGTTGCAGGCGTGAGATCATCTTACAGCCTGAGGTGCTACAGATCTCCTGACTTATAGCAGTAAAAGAAGATCTGAAATTACCAGTTCCAGTGAAAGGTTTTTCTTATAGCAGATACCAACCCATTCATTTTTAGACTCTAGATTTCAGATTATAGCATACACACAGAGTTTACACAATCAATGTCTAGTACTGAACCTTTTGATTGAGGCCAAGGATTTTTATAAATACAAGCAGCATCACAAAAACAGAAACTGACACTAACAGCATTTAAAGTAGGCCTAATTTTATCTGCATGAAAAATACGATTAATATTAATGTTTGCACTTGCTTACTAACACAGTTTTAGAAACCCACAGCTTTTAATAAAAATATGAAAAATAAAGACAACCAACAACCTGTGACTGGAATAATTTTTAAAACCACCATCTTGATATCGTTCCTGCTGTCATTTACATAGGCAGCATGCCCTGATTAAATGCTCTAATGATATATTATTCCTAATAATATTCACCTGATGGAAACAGAATTTAATTAGTGTCTTTAAAACAAATTCTAGGTGCAAGCAACTTTTAAATGCAGCAAGGACTGCTTAATTTAAGCATGTATATGTTAGTACAGGATTCAGTGTTTGTGTGCTTTACTAGTGACTGGCATGCCATGTTTTACTTTCTTCTGAGGAAGTTCCTTCTTTCATACATCATGGACTGAATTCATATCACCTCCTTTAGCCATCTAACATGAGGTTTGCCTTCTACAGAAGAGCATTTTCACAGCCAAGATGGAAAGATATATCCATAGGTAACTCATCCAGCCTATTTTGCATGTTTGTAATAGGACACGAAAAGTCACTTTCTGTAGTATCAGCCTCCTTCCAAGGACTATGGAGGGAGCCAAGAAACCATCCTGGACAAGAAAAGCGTATTTTAGGTGGTTCTATATAAGATGTGTGAATTATATTTCCTGAATCCTAGCCCAGTCTGAGGGAAGGGGAAAGGTGCTGATTCCTATGACAGAAGATAAATAGGTAGCTCTTACCTGGCAATAACAGGTATTTTGGTTTAGGAAATCACTAATTTATGCTGTGGTGTTGCCATGGTATTCCTGCACAGATCAAGGCTTCCGTGCTTCAGGTACCATATAAACAGAGAAATAAATGGTATTTCCTGAAAATTACATATTTTGATAAAAATTAAATTATAATTGCTTTAAGATATAACCAAAACTTGTATTATTTCATAACAGCCTTGAAAATACACCTCAACATTTCTGTAATAAACTGTGGACAAATCTTTACAACCAATCAAATGGTGCATAAAATACAACTCTCGCCATTAGCCAACCATTAAATACTGGTGAAGTAAATGTTTTTCCTAGGGGTACTGTTAAGAGAAAAGAGACTTGCTGCTAAAAAGGTCCTGGTACTGCATTCCTGACTCTGGTAAAAACTCCACTGAGTTCAATAGATGTTTTGCCTGAATACTGATGACAAGATTTGTGTTCCTGCATTTCCCATCTGAAACCTGCGCTTCAGTCATTGTGTCATTTTAATGGTATCGTAATGGGAAGTCTCTTTAGGTTTGGATTAGCTGCTTCCCACAGTAATCTCATATTGCAGAAACATTATAATTGCATAAACACAGTTTCCACATGCTAACGCCGCATTTGTTTTGATTCAGTAAGCACATTTTAATGGTATTAGCATAGATTCTCCCTAGGCTTACATGGGAATCATTTGATTGCCATTACATTACAAAGTGAGATTACAGTGACACTAAATCCAGATTGCTGTGGGAAAAATTTACCAAAAAAAAAGCAAAAAGAATAGCTCAATAGGTATTTATTATAGTCAGAAAAAGTTAAACACAGCTGCTATTTAGGAACAATTTAGCCTTGGCTGCATGAAGAGCACTGTAAGCGGGTCTTTCCTTTATAACCATGCAGTCCCAGAATATGTGACATAGCACACATTTGCTATATACTTACAGATGGAGGAAATGCTCAAAGAGCATTCAGTTCTATTCTGAGCTACCTCTACAGAGCATGGGAAGCCCCAAATTAGAAACACATGACACATCTGTAGTAAATTACCATTAGTTGGTCAATGCCGTGTTATCTCACCATTCCCCACATGCAAACATTGTGCGATGAGGAAAGAGTTAGCAAGACAAAGGAAGAGGAGAGGCAGAAAGTGTGTTAGGAAAAATGTAAAAAAAGAACTTCCTTCTCTCTTCTTCCATGCTTCTGCCAACCCTGAGGAGGTTTACAGGGTGAAAGGAACTCTGCTGCCAGCACGGTTCCTCCTCTATCCCACCAGACAAGCAAGCTGTCTAACTTCTCTGACAGATGTGTGCCAGATCTACCTTACTTTCTAAAAAATGTATTCACAAGTGCCAATTACAGGACAAACATGCCTGAAAACCAGCTTTCTCATACGTTGGCTTTTTTGCTCAGGCGTAGTGTCAGGAAAGTGCAGCTACAAGGGCTGTGGAGCAGAGCTCACCACAGCTGTCAGCGTGAGAGCAGCAGTAGGACTGAACTTGCATCTGCTCCAGGACAGGTACAGGCTTACCTGTCATTTAGCCCAGCAACATCCTGTGTGTCAATGTCCAACACTGGTGTCCACCAGCCTACAACACTATTCACAGGCACTCTCACAGCACCACTGGTTGTCTGTGTTACATGAGATAATAGCACATCTCCTACTGCTTCTGGATTACTCTGCCCATGAAAACAGAATTTGGAAATGGTGTATAAGTACTATGAAAAAATGCAGGTTTCTGGGCAAAATACTGTCTCTTCTGCAGAAAGGGAAGATATGCTTCTCTGAAGGTGATGCAGATTATTCTCATTACAGTCATCACTGTTCTTCCCTGTCTTCAGAATTAACAGTGGCTGGAAGTGACACTGCTCTTTTTCTTCTCCCATACTGGAGCTATGAGATTATCATGATTTGCTGAACTTCAAGCTAACTCACAAAAGTACGGCAAGAAAAATAATCTAATCTATTCAGAAGGAGTGTATTGTTTTCCATTTTTCACTTCCTTCATACTCTGTTAATTACAAAACCCAAAGCAAAATGAGTAACATGACAGCTTTTCACAGCATGAGCCCTTGCCTAGTGCTGAAGTGTACTAAGGGGAGAAAGGCATGCTAGTACTTCCATGAGCATCAACATGGAGGCAATGCTTTGTGTCCTAAGGATCTATGTCACACGATAGATCTTTCATGTTTTGACTAAAGCTCTTCTCAGAGAGGAGGGTAACACAGTGCTTCTCTCCTTCTAAATCTCCTAACACCATACAAGCATCTGCTGCACCTGCTGCAGCTCTTCACTTAATGGGGCACCTGCAGTTTTCCATCTTTGGGTGGCTGCATGAAAATGCAGCAAGTAAGAACCTTACCATTTCAGATACGTGTAATCTCTCACCTACCAACAGAATCTGGCCAACAGATTAAAAACCAAGAGAACTCTTGGGGAAAATATTTTAAAAGTATCATCTCTCTGTACTATACCACATTTTTTCCTGAAACACACTGTTCTAGAGATAGGGTAGTGGGTTAATGCTGTGGCCTTCAACAACCTTCCTCTGATCCCCAAATCATTCAGAAACATGCATTTCCTCCAGAAACCAAGCTAAAAGAAATGCTAAATATTGGTTTTCACCACATTTCCAGCAAACAAAATACCCTGACACTACAGAAGTGAAAAGGGATACCCAAAGCAAAACTTTATATAAAGTCACAATACATGCTATGAAAAAAAACTGGGAGAGCTTTAGCTGAGCCTTATACAATCCTACAATGATAAAGAGAAGTCCCAGCAAAATATGCACGTATACATACCACAGCAACTACGCTGCTTGAGTGATACTGGTAATGGTCTACAACCTAAAAGCAAAGTCACTTAAATTTTAAGAGAAATTTAAGCACTTCCACACATACGTCAATGGCCAGTATATTGATTCCCTGCCTTCAGAACCTCTGAAAAGCACACTCGAGGGTGAGGATCTTGGCAAGCAAGAAGCAAAGCTTTTAAATGTTCACCTGAAAGGGTAAATGAAAATGCTCACTGTGTATTCCCTCTGTCACTCAGCTAGTGGCAGACAGATAGACCTTCCAGCTTTGCGAGGTTTGGGGGTCACATTCTTACTCTAGCTAGGCTTTGAGCCAGACATACATAAAACAGATTTCTTCCTTACAGCGACACCAGAACAAAGTGCAGCCTCTCAAATCGATTTCACAGAATGGCTATACCTCTGGGACCAAAGCAAGTACATACAATCTGCACATGAGCATGTATGCACACGTACATTTGCCCAAAAGCAGAGGTTAAAGCACTTAGCATGTAATACGGTGCATAGGTTTGGGTTTGTTTTTTTTTTCAATTTGGTTAAAGATCAGCTGTTGTGAACAGAATAGTCAGACTTTTATTTTACCTTATTTCTGTGTAAATAACAGTTTCAAAATCTAGCCTTTTCCCAGCAAAGTCACATTGAAGTTCTCTTCCTCAGAAAGATCTGAGACCAACATCCCCACAGGTGTTTTTTCATTAACATCTCCTTTACAAGAACTTCAGGGGATTTTACATTTTGGGCGGCTTCCAAAATTACTCCAGATAAAAGGTCAGATAAAAATTCTCCCCTAGGTCCAACATTACATTAATTATATTTTACATGCACACATAGTGTTTTTAGGCAAAGAAATCAGAACTGAAGTCATATTATGCTATATGCAAATATGGTCTGGGTCCTGCATGTGGATACATACATTTGTATTCTTAAGCCTAAAGAGAATCGTATTTGCTTCTCACAGGTTCTAGGCTACAAGCCTTGCTAGGACAAGAAGATACAGGAAAAACTCTGCACAGTGGAAAACAGCATGGAAATGGGGTCTAGCGCCTCAGTCAAGACTGTAGACTGCAGAAACTGGAATATGCAGAGACTTCCAGAAAATCACTCTACTAGTGAGTGATGAGCTTAGATGCATAGAACCAAATTCAGTTTCCCACTGCTGCAAATCGCATCCCAAAAGTAGCAACCAATCTGAAGACCCAGCAAAAAAAAAAAATTATGTTGAGAAAAACCTCCACACTTTCCATTGTGACTGTTCCCTACTGCTGTCTCAGGAAGTGGAAACCATACGCCCTTCTCAAGGTCAAGACAGGGCAAAGACAACTGTGGGATAAAACAAGTCTTCTTTTGCACTTTGAGGTATGAGGTGAGATCCTGAAAGAGCAGGAAAAGAGAGCACCTCAGTAGGTAATATAACACTCTTGCTTGGTCCTCGACAGAAGTCACTTCAGGAAAAAAACACCCTGCGGTTTTAGCTCTATGCAAAACTAAGGTTTCAGAATAACAATCCTACATGCTCCTGAGATCTGACTGAAAAACTGTGATATACTTAAAGATGTCATATAAGAGATGGAGGTGGTGGTCTTCCTACTTCCTTCTTATCAAAGCAGTTAAATAATTTTGAAACGTATCAAAGTCACTGCTAGGATAAGATGACTTTCTTGGATTATTACACATGTATATATTACTACCAGACTAAAGACATGGCCACTGCTTAGAAAATTCTGAGGAAGCTTTTTAATTCATGTCCAGAAAATGATGTTAAAGCAGGAAACCTACCCTACCAGTTTTGAGAAAAAGATGAAATTTCTTTTTAGAACTAAGGGGACGGGACACTCCCTTCCCTTCCAATTCAGCTGGTAATGCAATGACTTGTATATTCTCCAGAAATACAGAAGACCGAAGTTAAAAACTACCCTTTAATAAACCAGTGACTTGAACCTTAGGTTTCCACAACCTAGATGGATTTCTAATCCTCTCCTACCAGGCAGGTGGCCAGTCTCTTGCAAATAGAAGTCTCCTTCCTCTGTTTTCATAGAACCTTAAACCTCAGCTTCAGTTTATTAAAAATAGAACTGTGTTCAGTATTTCAAGTTTTGAAATATGTAAAAAATATTTTAGATGTTTATCCAGTGAAATAAGAGATAAAATCCACAGAATGTTGAGA